GATAGAGATGTGAATTTGTGCACAGTTCTCTGTTTGCTACTCATGTAGCACAGCTGGGGGCATCTTTGGATGGAACTGGCTTCTGTCTATTGATGATTGGGTGGTACAGAAGCAAGTAGTTAGTCATCCCCACCCAGCAGGGTGGGGGTGGGGGCTGCAGAAGATGCATTGTTGCTGACAACAGTATCTGCCTCCTATCATCAAGAAGAAAAACAACAACAAATAACAACATAAATAAATAAAAACAAACAGGAGAAAGCAGGCAAACAACAGCAAGAAAAAAGAACTTAACAATTAAAAAGTTTAAAAGGAAATCCAAATTAAAAAGGACGAGGAAAGGGCAAGAGAACAAAAGGAAAAAAACTCAATAAGCAAAAAATGGAGGGAGAAGAGAGAATAGAAAAGGCTAAGAGAAAAGGAGAGAAGGAAGGAAGGGGATAAAGAAGACAAAGAAATAGAAGAAAACGAATAAAAACAAGGGAAGTAAAAAAGGAGAAAACTGTGGCAAGGGCAAGACCTAAAGAGGAGAAAGCTATGGAATAAGGGGCACCCAGTGTGGGTTGTCATCCTCTGCCAGCCAAGATGCTTATGGGATAGGGGGAGAAGTTCAGGCATCCAATCAAGTAAGAGCACTTGATCTGGAAGCAGTTCCTGCTGGCTTAGATAATGGCTAAGGCTAAGGGGCTTTTCCCCAGAAAGAACTCCTTCAAGCACAGAGGGCAGCTGGGGCCAGACTGGGTGGAGACAGAAGGGGCTCTTGGCCTCCCAGGGGTAGCGAAGGGAAGGCCACTGGCACAGCACCTCGAGTTCTGTTGTTCTATGAGGCAGAATTCATGCTCCTCCAGTTGCAGGGGTGATGAACCAGGTAGAGCAGAAACTATGCAGGGAAGGAGTTATCACTAGTCATTGGGTAGGTGAGGGTAGGAGCTGACCCCTCCTCTTGTTATCAAGAAGGCATGTGGAAAAAGGGAAGACTCCACCTCTCCCAGCACCAGCAATTGGAGTACATTTGTATAACTCATATATGTTGCATTTGGTTTCTTATGTCTTTATTGTAGAGGGTCTGTGTAGCTTGCATGCCTAGTCCATCATCTTGCCAGAAGTCTGGGAACTAAATTCTTGTTGCAAGACTGAGGGACAGTAAGAGTGGATCTCTGAGGTCTGAGAGGCAGGCCCCAATCCCAACTACATGGACAGTCC